AACGACTTTCACCTTTCACAGTATGGTTTTCAACTACGAACCCTGTTTCGTTCTTACTTTGACAACCCTTTGTTTTGTAAAAAAACTTTGGGCTTCCGGTCCAGGGGGCCTCCGGCTGGGGCCTCGCCTTTCGTAGGTGGTGTCCCCCCTTCCTCGTTCTCCTGGACAAGATCTGTGCCTCAGCCGCCATTACGGTTGCAGGTTCTGGGTTTGGGGATTGAGGGGTCTGGGTCTGGGATTGCAAATTCATTTTCTGGGTCTTTGGGCTCAGGGCTTCGCGTTCATGGTTCTAGGTTTTTTGGGGGGAACCAAAACCCTCTTTTTCTATGGAAAACCTGGCACCTCTCCTAATTACCTTACTTTCCCTGCAGGGCATTACAGAGAAATCCTTGCTACCCAACCATCACCTACACCAAGAGGCGTTTGCGTTCTAGGTTTGCGGGGAATGAGCTCTCCAGTACGCCTCCATGCGGCAGACACTTTCCAAGTCATCTTGGTGTTGTGCCACCGGCGTCGAACCGCAAGAACTCTCCACCCCAAACCCTACACCTTAGACCCTAGACCCGAAGCCCTAAAACCATGACGTCCAGCCGATCTCTTACATTTCCTGGGTCGGGTTGCAGGATTCGGAAAACCAAGGTTTAGGGGTGAGGAGTCTCCGAACCCCGCACAGGTCCAGGGCGCCAGGTGCCGTCTCCACAAGCTTTGGGCGCAGGGTGGCCGTGGCGACAGCGGCGGCCGCGATGCCTAGGACGATCAAGGCCGCCACCTGACCAATTATGGTTTCAGGCTTGCGCGGCGTAGGGCTTAGGGTTTAAAGGCTTGGGGGTTGGAGGTTTGGGGCTGAGGGCTTGTGGGAAGTTGGGGGATTGGCGTGTAGGACTTAGGCTTCGCAACCTGTAGACCCTGAACCTTAGACTCAACACTCCCGAAAGCCTGAGGCCTAAAGCCTAAAGCGGTCAGCCCTAAATCTCCAAGGGAATCGGGCTTTCACCCCAAACCCAAACGTGCTTTCATCTGGGTTTCAAAGCTCGGGACTTTCCTGCATCGCTCATGGTGCAAGACTCATCATGCTGGAGGGTTTGGGGGCAAGGTTTAGGGCTTACAAAACTAAACGAGTGCAACAGTTGAGCAGTAGGTCAAGAGCACGTTATCCATACGGGTCCTCTGAAGGGAACTGTCCTTTAGGGTTCCTCAAGAGGGAATAGGGATACAGCCTACTTTCTTTGGGCCTTCCTCAAAGGGAATAGGCTTAAAGCCTACTTTCCCACGGGATTCCTGAAAGGGAATAGGCTTACAACAGTCAGCCGGCTTGTGGCTACCTTTTTTGGGGCTTACTCTTGTAGGCTTCCAAACCATCAGCAAAAACTTCACAAAACACGGAGAACAACAAATGCCCCACACAACACCGTGCGGAGGATTGAGGTTCAAGGGGAGAAAAAACAAGGCAACGCAAGGTCATCCCCTTTCCCTCCCCCTCCATCCCCTTCCCCTCACTCCTCACCCGCCCCCCCCGCCCGGTCCGGTCAAGGTTTCGTGTTCAAGGCTGACGGCTTCAGGGAAGCGGGAAACGCGCTCCGTCGGATCCCCTGGGGAGATTGCGGAAAAGCGATCCTGACAGTAAGAACCCATAGGTACTATATACGTAGGTTCTAGGTAAGGTATTCCTTTACGGAAGAGAGCGATCGCTTATCTGTGGTACTTCTGGGCTCTTGTTGTAAGGATCCCTGAGAGGTCCCGATGCCAACCCCACCCGGTGAAGACCTCAGACCCGGGGCGTAGACCCAAAGCGAGAAGTTGTACATGACTTGGAGTTGCTGAAGGAACCCTTACAAGAAAACGAAGAAGAATCTCCTGAAAAAAGGAGCCCCTTTGAACCGAGAAGGCAAAGGAAAAATAAGAATAACTCCGTAAGAAAATCCAAGATGAGCTGATGTCGTTATGATTGTTAGTAAAGGAACACTAGGAGAGGACATGACCAAATCTTAATCAGATTTCTATTGAACTCTTCTTCCAAGAAACTCAGAAATTTCGACAATAGCTCATAATATTAGATTCTAGGCTACCGTACTTGACATCTGTCTAGGGATTTGCCCAAAAGAAAGGCTTTAGAGCAGAGGGGTTGCAGCTGGTCCTAGCTGAAACCGCCTTCTTCCAGTGGCCCCGCTGTGGCTGCGCCGGCTTGATGATGAGACCGGTCTCCTGCACAGGCGCGGCTTCGGGCCCAAGGTCGAAGGTGTCGCGGCCGAAGGTTGGGGGTGACAATCCTGATGGGACTGGGACTCACGTTGTCTCGTGCAATCCACCAGGCACGCACGCAAGGTTGTGCGTGGGGGCACCCGCGCTGGCTCAAATGGAGTAGTGTCCGAAGTTTTAACAACACTCGACGCTGATGAAGGCTGCACTGAGAGCACGGCATGAAAAGAAATCATACTCCACGCTAGAGCCTCAACCTTACACGAACAGAAGCCATAAACCTGTTTGTAAACCTGGGACACTCAGAGGAGCCACGGCTCCAGAAAGGCCTCTTCCCACAGGTGTTTTGGTGAGCTGCTAGGCTGCATCCTCCAAAAACCTGAACTCCAAACCCAAGCTCTAAAACCTAAAGCACTGAACCCTAGACTTAGCCTTGAAACACTACGCTCCGGAACCGAAACCCCTTGACAAGCGCAGCCAAGTCGATCATGCTGATCGCCAGCTGTTGCGGCAAAAGGTCGGTGGCAATGCTCTATGACTGTATGCAATGCCGGCCATGACGTCAAGCTACCCCTAGACCCTTACCGAGCCTACACTGATCACTCTCCTGAGTGCTCAGAACATCCCAACCAAATTTGGGTGTAAAGCCTTCAGCAAGCCTTCAGCCCGACATGATGCCCGAAAAACCTCCAAGATCCCTGTAAGGAACCCCGTCCTGGTCCGAGGCCTCCGGGAGAAACTGCGGACTCCCTTGAGGAGTCTCCATGAAACTACAACACGGCGCTGCGAGGCCAACGTCGGCTTCCCGAAGGGCCCGCTTGCGGCTGAGCTGCAAAATGCTGCAGGGAGCAAATCCTCTTATCGTTGGAGATCGGAAAGCCTGGACTCTGACAGCGCACGTCGGCCCTTCCAGTAATGAACGAGCATTCAGCAACAAGCCACAAAACCAAGAAAAGCGTCACTTGTCTTGTTCTTGTTTCCCTGAAACGTTTAACGTGCCTTCGCCCAAACCCGGATGTTTCTCGTTGCAAGATGCGGGTGGGTGCAAGTCTGGCTGAGGAATGTTTGGATAAAATCAATCAACAATTTTCAAACCGCTTGAAGGTCTGCTTAGGCACTATAACCCAGTTCTGGCAAATTGCAATACGTGGTTGTGGTAAAGCTTACCCACGATTCTGACCCCTAAACCTCAACCCTTCAAACCTCGAACTACAACCCCAAAAATCCATCTACTGAACGCCCAAAACAGCTGAACCTTCAAGCTTCGACCTATCCAAGACAACCTGGTCTGCACACCTGCGCCCGAAAATTGAACCCAGCCAAAAATGTGGCAATGGCAATGGACTTCCGAGGCATTTGTTCAGCGTCGGTTTCAGAAGCAGGGTTTCGGGTGCAGAGTTCGGGTTTAGGGTTTAGGGCGGGTTTTCAAAATTTAAGATTCGGGCATTTAGGATGGCATTGCTGGGTAACAAACTCCACGCCCCTAAACCTCAAACACCTACAATCTGAGCCTCCTTAAAGACCCATAGCGCAAAACACCAAAACAACACTTCCATTCTTGCCTCCACCCCCAGTGCAAAACTCTCTGACCAACCCCTTCAAAAAATCAGCCAGTTTAGAGCATCCTTCAGAGTCTCCTCCTGGAGTAAAACGACAGTGCCAAGCAGCCTTTCCAAGCCTCTTTCTTCCAGGTCATCCCGTGCACACGGCCTTTTTTTGCACTTTTCCACAGCAAGGCTGAGCAACGTCCACGTCCGCGCCAACTCCTTCCGCAGTCGACAATACAAAAACCGGAGATGTGTAAGCACGCAAGCAGCTCCAGGTGTGTGACTCCAGAAGCGCCCTTGAAGTCGTAGCTGCAGGCCTACTCGTTCCTCCTACACTACAGGTGTGAGATCCCAGTTCCCAAGCAAAGAATGGGACACCCGCAGAGAGGTCGCCTGGTAAACCTTCCTACAAGCCTACCCTCGGCACCTCTGCCAGAGCGCCCAACACAGCCAAAGCTCCCGAGCCCAAACCAAATGAGCGGTCCCATATTGTTGTGGCGAGGGTCCGCGGAAAGCAAGGTTCAAATTGCCGGGGGGGCCCTTAAACCTAAGCCCTTCCTTGCTTAACCCTCAACCCTAAACGCTTTGCAAAACCTAAACCCCTTGCCCTTCCTTAACGAAACCCTAAAGGATAAACCCTAAAAACCTCAGCCCCACGATCCCTGCTCCTTGCCATGCATGTCGACCCGAGCCTGCCAAGTAGGGGGTACCCAAACTGCTAAAGGCCGTATAAATTATAAGGTTTCAGAGCTGGCGCCTGGGGCTTAGCGTTTTTGGTTTAGTTGAAGGTGGTAGGATTTAGACCTTAAGGTTTAGAGTTTAGGGCTTAGGGTTTGGGCGTTAAGGTTTAGGATGAAGGGCTTAGGTTTCAGGGATAAGGGCTGGCCATGAGACTCAGGGCTAGGGCTTAGAGTTTAGAGTCTAGGCCTTGCGCTCTTGGGTTCGGGGCTTAGGGTTTAAGGACTTGGCATTATAACTAAGGTTTAGGGCTCATGGGCTTCATGCCTTCCGTTTCGGATGCAGAAATCTACTTTGAGACCCGAAAGCAGGTCCTCATTCCAGGCGGCCCCCTTCCTCTGTCGCCGCCTGGCCTTTCGCCGTTGACCGGACCCCCTGGTCGGGGGCCATTTGAAACCTGCTTTCCAGTGTCCTCTCTGTCGGCTGCTGCTACCTTTGAGGGAGTCAGCAAGCATGGCCGGGATCCGCTTTGGTGCTCAACCGTACAACCCTTAGCCCCCAAAAGCCCAAACCCTTAAACCCTCCGGCCCGGTAGAAAGTCGTGCGTAGACTGTTCCCCGCAAAGGGAGGCCTTCGTTTCCTCTGCGGAAAGGGAAGCTGGGGAGGCTACTCTTCTACTGCGGGGGGAAAGGGACAGGCGCCCAAGGTCAGGGGCTCGCTTTTTTTTTGAGGGATGTTTGAGCTTGAGGCTTCAGGTAGGGCTGAGGGCTCTTAAGATCCGCTCCAGCATGTGCGGGTGCCCAAGATGGAGCCGAAGCCCAAACAGGAAGCATTCACAGTCGAACCCCCAAAGCCTAAACCTGAAACCCTACCCTGCATCCGAAGCCCCTAAGCCCCTAAGCCCCTAAACCCCTTTCTCTCTGGTTATCTGTCCCTCTCCGAATCCCTCTCTTCCTCTCTTTCTGTCGTCCTCTCTTCCTCTCTTCCTCTCTTTCTCTCTTTCTCT